TATCTCATGTTTGCAGATGGTCTAAAGTTTTGGCACAGTGTCCGACCTCGATGAACCCCAGACTCTGCAAAGGGCCCTCGATAAACCTTGGGACTGTGCTGCTCTGTGGCAGTTGCCCATGACTTATGCCTCTTCATAAAGGATGCTCGGACAGACTGCGCTAACCACAGAGGGATTGACCTCATCTGCGTTGCATCTAAAGTGCTCGCTGCCCTTCTTTTAAGGAGGCACGGCCTGGTACGCGAACGAAACATACGCGAAGAGCAAGCTGGGTTCCGCTCCGGCTGCAGTTTTATCCATCGCATCTTTACACTCCGCCAAATACTCGAGCGTCCTCAAACGTTCGACCGGCCAACGATCGTTGTCTTCTTAGACACATTTGACCAAGCTGCTCTCTGGAGCTGTCTCTTGAGAATTGGAATGCCTGGGAAGTACGTCATTCTTCTAACCATCTACTTTCGAACCTCGGGCCGAGTTTGGGTGTACGGCGTCTTTCACCGCCTTTGTTATCATCCAATGGTGTGGAGACTGGGTTGCGCATGCATCACCCTTCCTGTTCAATTTCGCTATTGATAACCTCCTGGAGAGCGCACTGGAGTATTGCAGACCCAGCGGAGTTGAACTGCTTCCGGGGGACCGAATTCGCGACTTGGAGTATGCAGACGACATCACCGTGATTTGTTATTCCCACAGGCTACCCAAAATATGCTGTGAAGCTTGGCGGTATCTGCCTCTCAGTTTGAAATGACCTTCGCCCCTTCGAAGTGTAATGTCTTCGTACAAAACTGGCCAAGATCTGTTCAAACTCTTATCCATTCAGGTCAATCACTAGAAGTAGTAGACAAGTTTGTTTACCTTGGAAGCTGCATCAGCGCTAACGGTTTAACGGATGAGGTTTCCTTGCGCGTCTCTAAGGCCCGGGTTGCGTTTGCTAATCTCGGCCATCTCTGGCGACGCCGCGACCTGAGTCTATTCTTGTAGGGCCGAATCTACAATGACACGATGAGAGCGGTTCCGCTACACGATTGCGAGACTTGACCTGTTCGCGCAAAAGACGTTCAGAGGATGTCTGTCTTTGATCACCGCTGCCTTCGAAGCATTGCTAGTGTACGGTGGCAATACCACATTAGTAATGAAGATGTTCGTTGAAGGATTTTCAAATCGGACAGACTTTGGCGGCCGCTGAGCCGTATAACATCACTGCATAGGCTTCGGTGGCTTGCGTACGTGCTTCGCTTGCCTACTGAGCGTTTGCATTACTGTGCACTCTGCGCGCACAGAAGTCGGCTGGAGGAGAAGACAAGGAGGCCAGCAAATGACTTGGGCCAAAAGGATGAAGGCGTTGATTTCACATCTGGTTGCGGTCGGGCGCTCTCGACTCCCCGGTTGGGTGCGCAAGGACCATGGACACACTTGCCTGGAAACCCTATCGGACGTCAAGAAACCGTGAGCAATGGAGAACATGTTGCGAGACTCAGCCTCCATGACTCCGGTTTTACACTTTTGTACCCTCTCTATTTCCTTATTATTGTTGTATTACATTTGTCCATACGTTGTGGCACTCTGCCAATTGTACTGTTGGATGAGTTCAATTTATGTACTGTTTGGCTTTAACACACCACTAGTATGCAGTTACGTAACTGACAAACACAATCGCAGTGAATTCAACTAATTTCTTTACTCACAGTTTGACTGATGGTTCTGCTTGCCTTTCACGGTGGAAGCCATCATGGATCATGTCCAAGAAAAGAAGTACTTTGCGCCATGCTCTAGTGTGCTGTTTTTAGATTCACTTTTAAACCTCTGAAAAGCACCCCGAAATTCTCCACTTCCAACGTAAACTCCGAAGTAAGCCGTCAGCTTCTCTTACTTTGTCGATCTTTAGAATGCATCATCTGGTCTTCATCGGCCTTTATTTTCCACATGCTCAGATGCGAACTCGTGCCTGAAAGTCGCACCTAAGCTCCTTCCTACCGCCACTGTAGTTCCTTTAAGGCAAGTTGCTTTGTTCCATGGTCTTATTTCTACAGGAAATTGGATTCCAATGTGAAATCTCCTTCCCCAGATCTGAGTAATTCCGTAGGTTCCTCAGGTAAGATCATGGGATCATGGTTACAACTTGCCATTTTAGACGAAGCATCCAATAATGTACGTCACATTTGTGTTCATAATCTTGTCGATTATAGAATGAGACCTTGCGGAACACTTCCACTGACATTGGTAAGCCGCATGAAACTGTATGAAGGGTTTTCTTTCCAGAGGAGCATATTTCTCCACCTTGGTTTGACGAGGCTGAGCATTCCTCGCTGATAAAAGATGCTTCAAACGAGTTTAACTCAACCGAGTTGCACGCCACGATCAGTTCCACTCCCCTGTCTCCCAATTCGTCGTTTAAAATTTTAACTAAACCCACCCCTCCTCCATCGAAGACGAGTAGGCTATCGATAGCCCCGTCATCAGGATCTCTGTTGTCCCCTTCTGTCTCTGACTCTTTCGATGGTAACGAATCGTCAACTAGAGAAGCCCACCTGACAACGATGTTGCCTCCTGAGTCGACGGATCATGTTTCAATTACGAAGCGTCTTTTTAACTTGGTTAATGAAGTCTGCGACATTGTTGAATCCTTACCCATGAACAAACTGTTAGCATGCTTTGGGGATCGATTAACAACCATCACACAGTTGTTGCACGAAAGGTATGTCACTGCATTAATTTCATTCGAACATCTGTAAACAGGAGTCTTCCCTCCGTCAAAGCCACTACGTTTAATGAATTGAAATCAAGCGATATGAAACAATCTGTACTTACTAGCTCATCTCAAAATGAGCAGCGCCTTAACCAAAGCAGCTTCTCCACCCCTTCCAATGTCTCCGTTCGGTCCGTTTTCACTCCTGTGCAACAGGTAAGTTCTGTTCTTCATTGTCAACTACTTGTAGTGGTTTACTGTTCATTTCACAGATATGCATGGGCTCAGTTTGCACCATATCTTTCCATCTTAAGCCATTAACGCGCGCATCACTTGCGCAGCATATACTGTATCATATATATATTGCATGTGTGTACCCATGTTTAGATCTACAACTTCGCCTTTTGGAATTTGGTCTGCTCTTTTTCATTTCTTCCTTGTGATTGTCCAATCAGTTGGCTGCAGAAGCAGGACTATCCCAATTAGGCTTAGATTCCCCACATGCATGTGAGTGTAGTGTTCAACAAATGTTTATCCATTTTGCTAGACCCCCTTTTAACCTTATATCGGTTCTTCACTCACTCACTCACTCCCCACGAAAGCAAACCTATTCGCAATTTCGTACTTTGATATTGGAGGTAGGTTGGCCTACTTCGTCTGGATAGGTTAACATAGAACATCATTCTGCACCCTTAGTGCTTTTTCATGCTTTTCATGTAATACTCTTAATATACCTCACCATTGGTACTTCACGTTTTCCAGTCAATGAGAATCTGAATTGACCCCACTCTCAGACCATCCAAATCTGGTCGAAACCCATATAACACGTATCAAGTGGTTTTCATGAAATAACAGATTTTTCTGATTTCCACTTCTCGCTATGAAGTAGCGGGTCTGACTGTTCAAGGTGACGTACTCAGGCCACAACTGGTCCAATCGTAGGGTGTTCATCGGGCTGGTTATGAAACCACATGACATCAAATCCGTCTTGTTTCTGCGCGGTCTTGCGTCATAAGGCATGCACAGGCATCATTCCAAAGACTACTGTGTACTGGATTTATCGTAAACGAATTCCAATGCGTGCGCGCGGGCATCCAATTCTAACCAGGAATATTTTTATAACAACAATTAACTGATTCCAAAAAATGACAGCGGTATTTTTTGTTATATTCCCCTATTATATCTGTGAGCTTACTTCACTATTTCACTAGTACCTGGAAGGCTTCAACATCATCCTTGTGGAAATGTCGATCTCGAAGGAATTCTTTTGGAAGTCCAAGCGGGTGGAAACCACCTTGCCCTAGGTCAACTTTATAAGTTGGATGTGATTATGCCATCCAGAAATTGTTGGTTTTCCGTGTTATTTCGGCTTTCAAATCAGCACAGGCTTCAACTCATCCGTCAGTCGAGAGCAAAAACTTGTCTTGGAATCCGTGTAACACTTTCTGGAGCAGCAAATGATTTTGGAATTTTGTGTTTACCGTTCCAGACGAAAGAGGTAACACCTTTGTGATTTCACGACAAGTTATGCGACAATTGTCAGTGATAAGCTGTTTAACGTGCTGAATGTTCTTAGAGGTGACGGCTGTGGATTGGGATCCTCCCGAACCGTAATCATCAGGAACAGACTTACGACGATCTTTGAAACACTTGAAGTACTCCAACTACTCAACCGTCTCACTGCAACTGCCTGCCTTATTGCTACATTGTGACTAAATGCATTATGTATGTTGAGGTTCTCAGTCCAAAAGGTCTAAAACAAAACAGTTTTACCAAACAAGCTGCTTCAAGAAATAGGCTACCACAGCCTCTTTCACCCCAGTAGGAGTATACGGAAATTTCGTGGGGCTAGGAAATCGCCTGACCTCAAATGATGCCTATGTGGTGGACGCAAATTTACCCGTTAAATACCAGTGTTCTATATACGAGACCGATATCTGCTATACTGAAATATGGTGGTCACTTTTCCACTTGGCGACAGCACATGAAATCGCTGACGTCACGTCTAGCCACCTTGGACCCGTACGTCTTCCAGGATAAGGACCCAAAGATGAGAAGTGCCAATGACTTAACACGCTTGAAGACATCGTCCAAAAGCGGAATCACTGGAGAAATTGAGTACGGAATTGTATTGATTCACATGTGTAATACTTAAGACAGTGAAAGTGACAAAACACAAAAAGTCGGTGTGTGAAAATCTAACTAAATGTGTTTCGTTTTATTTTTTGTCAAATCTTACTTCACTTTGATTCTCAGTTTTTTGATGGCCCCATGTCTGTTACTTGGACTGCTGATTATAGATATACCGAAACAACCATATGATAGGGTCCAAATTTAAAGCTCACCCTAAGCTATGTAAGGTAACACTTTCGCAGAATCAGTGTCTCACCTTTTTGTCTTCCGGAGACCGGAAACATAATCATGAGAAGAATTGCTTTGGGAAATAATTAGTTGACAACCGGACGCCCCCACAAGGTCACATGATACGTTAGCGCAGAGCGCAAATAACATCGGGAAAAACGTATCTTAAGAGTAACGAACTTGGCTTGCAATCTGGCGGCGCGGGTTCGAGCCTACCTATAGACAGGGCACCCTCGCATTATCTTTGGTCCACTGCAACCGATGGTGGTTGCGCAGCAGCAAAGTGTCGATACTGCCTATCGGCGTACTGCTGATGTCATTTTTATATGTGAGTCATTCAAGAAGTTCGTAGACTAGCTCCTAATAGCAGTTAGTATAAAAGTCAGTTCAATTAGTTTTCAACAACTAATTCTTAGTTTCTGTCTACTTTGTCCATTGGAATTACAAGTATGTCAGTTTACCAACTTTTTAACATTCCAGAAAGCCCCACTTGCTTATCGCTTTCAATCCTTCCCTAACACATTCCCCGCCTTCCGTCCAGTAATGGTCTTCTCCTCCCCAAGGGCCCCCGGGCTGTACCGTACCGTAAAACTGGCACCTATTGCACGCATGATAAAGCATGATACACATATATGCTACCTACAGAACAACCAGTTGGATACAATCGAAAAGCAATTCCACTATTCTGCAGACCTTCTATCCATCAACCTGATGTTGTCTTGTGGTCTCATGTCCACCATCCTTGGACTTGTCAATATTTGCTCAAATCAGCCTGAGCTTATAGTTACACTATTTTGAGCCTGAAAGATCACATACGCTTCGATGATGCGTGCAGTAACCTCCTTAATGTATCCACCACAAGTTACACAACTTCCAAAGAAACTGAACCAACTGATCCACCATTTCCAGTGGCTGTTCGCTGATAGCAAGAACCAATAGAGTATCAGTGCAGTCCTGTAACTGTACCTAGCACTTTGAAGCTGCAAAGCATATACGAAGTGATAAGTATGGCCCTTAGCCGATACACGGAACAGAACACGTACACGTCATATGGAACCAATTTACTAAAAGCATCCTGCGTTCCAGTGACTAGAAAAGTCGGAAAGAAAAAATAATACAATAAGGAAAGTCAAGCAAGGTCATTCTCAACCAATCATGTGAGGGACAGTGTTTACGAATCGATACTCAAGTGCATGCATGACACCCCTCTCTTCCCTGGTCAAGACTGCAGACCGGGTTGATAGCGGTCAATTGGCTTAGGCTTGCATTTTGAGCCTCTTAATTGTGGTTGTACCGCATCCGTCTCTGGTTCCTGGTTTTATGAAGCAGATTCTCCGTCCGGTTTTGGGTCAGTAGCAGTCGCTTTTTGATCCCGCTCTTGTGGTTCGTTTGAGATCGGCCGGATATGGTCAAAATGGCGACGCACCACGGCCGTCCTCCAGTTGCACCTTCGCTTAGTTGCTCCTTGTGGACAAGAGCGTAGCAGCTTGCTAGCTTGTTTCGTGAGGTAATCTTGCGTATATCGGATCAAAATCATTAAGATACACTTCCTCTGGCACCTTCTCATCCACACATTTTCTCCTGCTTTTCCTCCATTCTCCTTCGAAGATTCGGAAAACGTAGGTGCAGTCTCGTTTATAGTGACCGACCAAATATTAATTCCATGGTTGATTTCCCTGTCGACTCTGTCAGTGTCGTACGGTAAGAGAACAGGAGACGATCCATTTCAGTTTGTAGAGTTCCGTGATTCTGTTGAGGAGACCTTGCTTAACAGTCTGGACTGCGCGTTCTGCCATTCCATTTGACGTGGGATGGCACAGACTTAATGTGTTGTATTCCGTTGTTACCCATGAGCTGTTGAAGTTCTTCACTGGTAAATCGGGTTCCCTGGTCGATGCATATCGTCCCTGGACTACAGAAAATGGCGAATATGGAGCGCATTTTTGCAACTGTTGCTGCGGAACTGGATGTACTTCTATGCACTTAGAATGGGCATCAATCAGAAGTAGACACATCAACCCATTGGCTGGGCCAAAGTAATCCGCGTGTACCTGCTGCCAGGGCCTTTCCGGACAACGCGATGGATGTATCGCTCCTGGAGATTTTTGCCTTTGGTATTTCTGGCCTTGTTCGCAGTTTTTCAGCAGCCGCTCTATATCCTAGTCGATGTTCGGCCACCAACAGTAACCACGTGCCAACGCCTTCATTTTGTTCATGCAGGGGTGTGCGTCATACAGCTCTCTCAGCAATTGGGGCCGTAGTTCTTCTGGTGAAACTATGCTTGAACCTCGAAATACACAGCCATCGTATAGACTCAACTCATTACTCCGACAGGCGAATGGTTTCAGTTCGTCTGACGTGCTTGTCAGCCATCCGGTCATCAAGAACCGTTTCACCCTCGATAACACAGGGTTCCGGCCCGTCAGGCGCCGCATCACGTCACTCTGGATGGGTGTCTTTTTGAGATGTTGCATCAAATTCATAAACTCCATGAGTTCATTATGCGTTTTTGTGCCATGCTGCTGCGGAAGGCGATTAAGTGCATCGGAAATGGTATTACTTGGTCCGTTTACATACTGAAGTTTGTAGTTATAGGCGGTCAAAAGTAGTGCCCACCTTTGCATCCGAAGCGAAGACATCTGTTGGATTCCTTTTTTCAAAACCAGAAGCGAAAAAAGTGCTTTCTGGTGTAGATACCAAACTTTTTTTAAAAGACGTATGGTGGAAATGGTTGACTGCGAAACTAATCGCCAAGGCCTCCCTTCCAGTTGGGAGTACTTCCTTCCAGTGGGTTGCAGGGTACGAGAAGCAAAAGCGATTGGACAGAGTACCATCATCCATCCGGTGGCAAAGGACTGTGCCTGTTCTGCGTGGGGAAGCATCACACTGCATCACTAGATGCCGGCTTGTATCGAAATGCACTAGATAAGTGGAGGCGCTGAGCAATCTTTTTGCATCTGTGAAGGCCATTCTTTGAACCGAACACCAAGTCTAGAACTTCCCGTTGTGCAACAGTTCGTACAAGGGTGCAAATACTGTTGAGGCGTTAGGTAAGAAGCGATGATAGTATGAAAACATCCCTAAACACGATCGGGTTCAGGTGCGACAGTGATGAGCTTTACTTTGTCTTCTAACACTTGTAATCCGTTTTTATCGAGGTGGTAACCAAGGTGACGAATGGAATCTGTGAAAAACGTATTCTTGGACTTTTTCAGTTTGAGTCCACCCTCTTGCAGTGAATAGCATTTGTAAACGTTCAGCATCTGTACTTCCTTTAATTAGAATGTTGTAAAGCTTGGCGCACGTTAAAGGGATATCTTTGATCAGGTTGTCAATGATCCTTTGGAATATCGCTGGGGCCGAACTGATTCTGAAGGGCAGACATTTGTACTGGAATAGACCCATGTGTGTACTTGTCGTCGTGCATGACTGAGAGGTCTCGTCTAACTCAATTTGTAGGTACACGTAACTGAGCTTGATCTGTGTAATTTTTTGCCCGCCTGCTAGAATACAGATCGTTTATCCGAGGTAAGAGATACTTATCCGCAATTAAGTAACGATTAACAGTTAGTTTATAGTCACCACAAATACGCACAGAACCATGCGGCTTCAGGACTGGAACTATTGGAGCTCCCCACTCACTGTATTGGACCGGTTCGATTCTTTCCTGCTGATTGCAATTTCTTTATCTCCTCTTCCACCTTTGATCTCAGGGAATATGCTATAGTTGGTGCCTTGAAAAACGGAGCTGAGTTCCCTGCCGTAATTTGATACTAACCTGATATCCGTGCAATTTTCTTAGTTTCTTATCAAAGACGTCAGAATATTTGTTGGGCACAACCTCCAAGCGCTAGTTAATGTTAATGAACTTCACTGTCTCTAGCATGACCTAAAGGCATTTAATCCAGTCGCGTCCGACTAAGTTCGGACAATCCTTCGCCATAATCTATGCCTGTAAGGTCCGCTTCTCCCTATGGTTATTTACATGAACAATACATTTTCCAACGACGTATCGGCTGCCCAGTGTACGTACGCAAAGTTGATTCACATTGGGATAACGTGTAATCTTTTAACTGAGATAGCCCTGATTATGGTAACTGCGGCACTGGTATCCACTTTAGCCAACTGGCCTTCTATTTCCAATTGCATAGTGTAGAGTGTGTGAATGCTACAGATGCTCGACGTTGCGTTCCAAGTTGTGTTTAGCTGGTCTTCTTCGTCTGAAGACGACGACCTTCACGGGCTTCTTGGGAAAACGTGATTTCGCGGCTCTGCAATCTTTAGATCAGCAAACTCAGGTCAAGTGCCCTAATTTTTTACATTGGCGGCAGATACTCTGTTTATGACGACATCCCTCTGCTGATAAATGTTGACTTCCACATCTGTAACAGGTAAAGGAAATTCGAGGTAACATGTTTTCATTCGACTGCTTGAATTGTGTCTGTTTATGGATATTCTCTAGCTGTCGAACAATATTGCAGGCCTCCCAGCTCATCGTCGTCTTATCTTCCGACAACAACCTTTCACGAACCTGTTCGTTACGGATACCGGATATCAAGCACTGTAAAGCCATCGCCTCTTCGAACTTCGTAACTGGGATTTCACTGTACCGATACTCTGATAGGGCTTGTTGAATCCGCGCAAGATACTCATTGACACTTTCTCCAGGGTTTTGACGCATAATCGATAAAGAATACCGCACAGTGTGTGTTCAGTCGTGAACCCCATAACCCGCTGAGTACTTCCAGCGCGCTGTTGACTGTCTTCTCACCGACATGGAGGGCATCAAAATGTCTTTGGCTTTCGTCCTCAGAAATTGTCTCAATAATTTACTTTTGCGGCTCTCTGAGAATACCGTGTTTAGTTGCAAGACTGGTAGTAGCTGCAAATAGTCCAAAAAGTAGACTACCGACGGTTCCAGATAGCCGGTGTTGGTTTCTCAGAAGGAGTCTTCCAAAGTAGTGTTGGAAGGTGCAATATCGCAGTAGTTTAACCTCGTCGCCAGATTGTTAAGTATGGTCCTTAGCCTATAAACGGAACAGCACGCACACACGTCGTATGGAACCGATTTACTAAAAGCATCCTGCGTTCCAGTGGCTAGAAAAGCCAGAAAGGAAAACCAATCCAATAAGGAAAGTAAGGCAAGGTCATTCCCAACCAATCATGTGAGGACCTGTGTTTACGAATCGTTACTCAAGTGCATACGTGACGGAAGGAGTGCAGGGATAAGCGCCAGTCTGTTCAGTAATATTTGCATAGTCACTGCGCCAGACCCTAGGAGAGCTATGTCGTCCGCATACTCATGGTTTGTCAGTCGGTCATCTGGCAGAGCTTCCATTACCGAAGAGTCTAAAAGAACAGTCATTCATGATCATTTCAACCACAAAGTTGGACAGGAAAGATGATGTAGAGCAATCCTGGAGAACTCCACTTGCCGTGGGGAACTCAGGAGATAGTTTTCTGTAGACCCGTAAGCGGGTGTTACGGTAAAGAGACTTTGGACTTGAAAGGAACTTCCCTATCAGGCTCTATACGAACAGGTGGGGCCATTAGGTGGCTCGATCAGCAGAACCGAAGGAAGCTTTAACGTTAAGGAAAACCACCATACTTGGTCGTCTGTGAATGCGTATCTGCTCTAACACTTGACGGAGAACAAACCTGTTATCAATGCAGGCGAAAGTATGCCTAGCTTTCAATGGTCCGGCTCATCGAGGAATGATACCTGTATACAATTTAACGGCAATGGGAAGAAATGTAATGCCTTAATGCTTTTGGGAATATGTGGATAACATCTGATA